TCTCTCTCTCTCTCTCTCTCTCTCTCTCTCTCTCTCTCTCTCTCTCTACATTTTTGTCTTTTGGCACAAAGTCATCCGGCACTATGTAGCTTAGCGGTGACCAGCAGTGGATGCCTTCTTCACCGTGGCCAAAGTATTGGTATGAAGAGAAACATTGATAGGATGTGCGACAAGCTGCTACTACTTCCGGAGAACGCTCCGCCGCCATTGCTGCCACCGGAACTTTGAGCGGCTTCGGCTAAACCTACGGAAATCATATTCTTGCAGAAACCATTCTTTTGAGAGAACAACGATCGATGAACGTGAGATTCCGTCCACAAAATCCTACGTTCTTTCTCCCCTCTCTCTCTCTCTCTCTCTCTTGAAATTAATGCGCCAAGTTGATCAAATTATATCGGAATAATAAAGTTAATAATAGATGCCCAGAAGTTAATAATAAATGCCCAGACGAATATTTGCGCACAGATATCCACTAGAGAGGAGGAGAGAGATAATACACGCTACACTTACCACCGATAATAGACACGTGATCCTTCCCGCGCGACCCTCTGTCGGAGCCGATTTTAATCTCTAAAAATAAAGAGCGTATGAAGGAAGATCTTGCAGATACTTAGCCGTAAAATTTCAACGAAACTCGTCCGCTACCATCGACGCAAACTCACCGTACAATCTGAGAGTCCCGTCCGCTTTTCCTAGGCTATTCGTTGAGACGCATTTATAACTACCGACGTCCTTTTCCGTGAACCTTTTGATTAAGAGCCACATCAGGACCGTGTATCCCGTACGTTCCTCTCGTACTTTGTACTTCGGTCTGCGCATTACAATAACAAGTCTAAAAATGTCTTCCGCAAGAAACTTTATGCAATTTCGAATGTCAACGATTCTGCCCTGCATACGATCGCCATATTGACTTTTCTATTTAAGTTGGATCGGTAGTATTGTATCAACGGAATCATTACTTTGCCGATAAAAAATTTTGGGAAAGATCCAAAATAAATATATATTATGATTATGCAATGGGTCTTGAAGGGTTAAGAAAAATAATGAGACAAACGTGCGCTTACCCTTCCAATAACATCTCGTCTTCCGTGCCTTCGTGTTGATTCTTCACCCAATAATTGATCGTGTTTGGGAATGCTTCAACGTAGCACTCCATCTGCACATCCGTGCCCAGAGGAGCACCCAGCAATTGATTGGGTGCTTTTACAACAGGTGCGACTATAGAGGAACGACATGGAAGTCAGTAGAAAAGTGTATTCGATTTTTCTTCATAAGTATCTACATGTATAAGAACCAATTTTTCAATGATAGTTTAAACTTAGATTTTAACTTAAACTCTGTTTAAACAAAACAAACGCATTGTTAGAATAGAGTTTAAACTTGAATCCAAATTTAAACTGCTATTGAAAAACCGACTCTAAAAGAAAGAACAGAGATACGTGAATTTTTACTACAAATAAAAAAATATACTATTATTACTATTTATTACATTATAATGCTTGTATTGATATATTAAAATGTCACATTACGCGAGAGAATATATTAGAGTTTTTTCTCATATAAATTCTTTTCAATTTTACTATGTTCCTAATAATACAAGAATAGACTGACAGTAAGATCAGTCTTGCTAAGCAACATAGTACATTTCGCTGGGAACATAGCAAATTTTTAATAGCACATTACAGTTCCTAAAATATAAATAACACATGCGCTGTGAGAGAAGAAATATCTAAAAAACAAAAAATATTTGTTCGATAGGTACTTTAATAACACATTTATTTATATCAATATATATATTTTTGTGCACCAAGAAAAAATATTTTTTTAATATATATTTTCTTTAAACCTTAGATTTCCGTGAAAGTTATTGTTTATTTTATTTGAATTAGAGAATTCGATTTTTAAGTAAATATGTTATTAGTACATTGCAAAATCAAGATGTTATTTTGGTTGAAATGTTTTTTTATGTTTCTTGCCGTTTTAAGTTACATATAATATGTTTAAGCGTATATATGTATTAAATTATAATTTATATCTCTGTAATGTGTTAAATGACATAATTTAAACCGCCAGAAACATGTAAAAAGTTTCAACCAAGTTACACATATTTGCATTTAAAAATAACATATTTGGATTTGCTCAACAATATGTTTTTATTTTTCAAATATTTTTTCTCTCATATGAAATGAAAAAATAATAAATGATTGCAGAGTGTCGATATATTCCTCGGTTATAAAATGTTTTAGTAAATTTTACTATAAAGCTCTTTCCATACATAAATATAGTGGACATCATCTAATTCGCGCCCAAATTTATATACGTTATTCGTTATAAAAAATTGAGATAAAAAGTGCTGAGCCTTTTTGTCGAGGAAAATCATTACTTATGACTTAAATTAATTCTCCAACTATGAACATATATCTTAACCAAGCTTCAAATTAAATTATCTTAAAGTTCAATTAAAGAATTAACCGAAGAAAATAGTTTTGTTATCCATTTAGTCATCTCTCTCTCTCCCAAGAATAGTTTGCGGGAAACCCCGTTTCCCCAATTGTTTGTACTCTAGGAACTATTGAGGCCTCGACATTTTTGCGAAGAAAAATATAAACATAACAGCTGTAATTGCACAGAAATAAATTATATAAATACTGGACGCGTATTAAATGAATCTATATGGAATACAATTATAAGCTATGTAGAACAGTAAACATAAATATTAGAATCTCTCAGAAGTCAGACTGATTAACTTCGTCTTGTTTTAACTTTTTAACTTTAGTCAAAAGCCGAAACACAC